CCCAAGCATTTTGCAATGAGCACCAGGCTTTAGATACCCTCTCAGTCTAAAGAAAGAAAAAGAAAAAAAAAATGAAAAAGATGAGAGGAAAGCCAACCCACAAAGGATTAACCAATCCATCCAATAATATTTAGATTAATGTGTGTGTTTCTCAATTTCTAGCTTCATATACCATCTAAAAAAAACTAATTTGTGCACATACAATTTCATTAAGAATAAGAAGTTCTTAGCTTCAATTCAGTGGCTCAAACCAAAGAATTTCATGAAGAATAAGAAGTCCTTAGCTTCAATACAATGAATGAGAGAAATAAAAGAATAAGGAAATCATCAATGGAGGAGACACCCAAGCATTTTGCAGTGAGCATCAGGCTTCAAATACCCTCTCTGTCTAAAGAAAGACAAAGAACACAAAAAAAAAGAATAAAAGAGAGAAAGCCAACCCTCAAATGATTAACCAATCCATCCAACCATATTCAAATTAATGTGTGTGTTTCTCAATTTTCAGCTTCAAATACCATCAGAGATTAAGCCTTGGTTATCAAAATCTATAACTTAATTCGACAAAAATGACCAATAAATTAATCAAAATCTTTGTTTTTGGATCGAGCACAGGTTTTTTGAGCAGCAATCTTTTGGATGAATATCAACCCATAATATCTCGTTTTTTGAACAAATTGAAACATGAATCTGATAAATACTTCGATTATCTATCAAACCCACCATATTTCTTCAATAAACATTAGGGGGTGAAGAAATTCTTGAAAGAATGGCATAAATTATCAAAAACCTAAATACTACACCATTTCGATCCAAGAAATTAATCATAGATATTGGAACAAATTACAGATCTATTGAATTGAAATGAGAGAACAAAAATGTTGCAATTCTACGTGCTCTAAAATGAATCTTGTACGATTTGGGTTTTTATAAAATCCAACAACAACTATTTCTTACCTGAAATATATGATGAGGGAGAGATCGATCAAGATTGAGAACACCAAAACAACCTTCTTACGACAGAATGAAGACCGTAATTGGAATGGGGCTTATTTGGGTTCTTTTGGGTTAGGGTTTACACGGCTAAAAAGAACTAGGAAGTATTACTATACTACAAGTACCGTATTACATTTTAAAAGTTTGTATAGCTTGTATTACGGTACAACGTGTACCATAATATCTTTTTAGGGTTGTATAGTTGTTCGGAATGTTTACGGTAGTATGGGTACCATATTATCTTGTAAACAGAACAACATATAATATTACGATACACGTACTACTGTAGTATCTTTTGGACGTATGACGGTACTAAAAGTACCGTAAGTTATTGTAAGAAAAATACGGTAAGCACATTACCGTAATCTAGATTACAAAATTAAATTTTTCGTAATTGTTTTTACAATACAACGACCGTCGTAAGGGCATTTTCGTCTGAAATTTCGCGAAAATGGGGCAAAAGGGTGTGGGTGAAGTTTTGGGAAGTTGGGGTTTTTTTTTCCAATTTCTTAAAAATATGGGTATATTAGCGATAATTTCCCTTTTAAAAATGATTTAGTAAATAGACTTGGTTTATTAATATTCGTGTTTTCTAGAAATGTCTTGTATTATTAAATAATTGGATAGTCTACCAATGTAATACTTTTATAATAATTATTTATTGAATAATCACGTTTCATGAAATTATTAAATTTCGTTCGCCATTAAAAAAAAAAAAAACCTTGAAAAATCCTTGAAAATTTGTATGATTACCAAACAATGGACATGGAAAGGATTGTAAGGAATCCATAAATTTTGTATAATTTATCTAAACAAGAGATTTGAAGAATCCATGACATGAATCCTTGATTCTGAAAATCTATGGATTTTCTTGGATTTCAAATATCCAAGATTCCTTGTTTCCTCCTATCCAAACAGGCCCTTAACGTGAAATGAGAAAGGTAAATTTTAAGAAGGATCATGTATTTCTGAGGTTGATGTTTTTCATAGAGGCTTAAACCGAAGGGTAGATGGCACCCACCCGTGGAAGGTCTTGTTAAATTAAATTTCGATGTTTGGCGGGATTTGGAGGTGTTAGGAATTCTCTGGGTGATGTTCCACTCTCTTTTGCAGGTCCGTGTGGTCACACTACATCTACTACATCTAATGAAGCTGAGGTTTATTGTAAGGGTTGGAGATGTACTACATCTAATGAAGCTGAGGTTTATTGTAAGGGTTGAAGATCATGAAGTAAACATTATCAGGGTATCGTTGGGTAGTTGAAGGTGATTCTCTGAATGTGATTAACTAATGTAAAAATTTCGCTAAGCCACCTTTGAGATTTTTATCGATTTGGGCTGAGGTTATGGACTTATACCAAGGTGTGCATTTTCTTTTGATCATGTATATCAAGAGGCAAATTATCTTGTGGATGGGTTGGCAAAGCATGGGGTGTGTCCGAGAGTCTCTTGTTGTTGCAGACGATTTAGTTGCTGTATAGCTCTTGTGTAATTCCTTTGATTAAGAAAATTCAACAATATTTTCAAAAAAAAGAAAAGAAATTTTAATGTGACATGATGTTGAGAAGAAGTACAAAACCGATGAATAAATAATATAAAGGCAATTTTCACAAATATTCTTTCTTTGCGGTATTTTAAAATGTTGCTCATTTTTCATATTTTATGCACATCTCTTGAGTTTTTTAATTTTCTTAAAATATCCTCAGTTGGGAACTTCAAGTTCTGAACATCCTTTTGTTTTGAAGATGAACTGGTTTGAGACTCAAATTTCAATTTTTTTTTTTTGAGAATTAGAAAGTTCTAAACTACTTATCCACTCAAAAAATACACAGGTCCTTTGTTCGATTTTTTTTATTTATTATTTTTTATCAAATAAATGGTTCAGAACTTCATGTTCAACTCGTGTATCCTTTTAGTGAATATGGGTTTTGAAACTTAAAGTTTGGAACCACTTAATTTTCAAAAAGTTGGTTTGAACGATATAGGGAGACCAATATATTTTCGCAATGGATAAGCAACTCAGAACTTCTAGTTCTCTGAACTGCTTAATTTTCAAAAACGTCAGTTCAGAAATTAAACTTCCAAACCAATATGTTGCTCAGGATAAAAAACACAAGTTGGGAACTTGGTGATCTGAGCATAAGCTATTTAGGCATTTTGAGAAAATAAGAGAACTCAAAAAACATGACATAAACATAAATATGAAAAGGGGGGCATTTTTTAATTACCACATAGAAGAATATGTGCTAAAATTTCCCTATAATTATTATAATTTCATTTTCCTTCACTTCTTCAATTTATTTACAAATACATTATTTAAAATTTCAAATTTAAAATGTGATTGTCACACAACCCAACCGGCAGAATGGCCCTCGATAAATGAGAGATGTCATCAGTTCAAAACAAGTGGGCACACTCTTGGTAAACTATAAACGACGTCAGTTCGAAACAAGTGGGAACAGTCTTGGGAAACTATAAACGGGGATGGCATGCAAATCACAAACCGATTGGAAAGGTTGGAAATGTTGTTCTGATGCGCTAGAAAACCTGACCGACCATTTATCTCTATTATAAGTAACAAATATTCTCACTCAATAGATGTCAAATTGGATGGCTTTGAGTGAGTTACGAAGTCCGACAAACTTTATTTTTAACTTTGTATTTATTTAATAACACTCTTACAAGCACCGATTTGAAATTTAAATAAGAGTGATTATAATCTTCTTGTACAAGAGGTAAATGATCTTTTTGCATACTTTTCCAAATAATTTTTGACAACCCAACCATAGTTGCCACTCTAATTGAAGATAAATTGTTTTGTGATGCAATAGCAACTAGTTCGATATTTGTAAAATATTTCCGTAGACTGTAACCCGTTCTAGTTTCATGTCCACCTTGCGAACTTTTAACTATTGAGATTTTGGGTGCAAAATATGAGTAGCCTATGGTTAAAACTTAAGAGAAAGTATACAATGAGATCATTTACCTTTGGTACAAAATGATCACAATAAATCTTGACCATTGGATGTGAAATTGGGTGGCTACATCTTTTTCATTGATCAAACTCAAAGTTCAAAAGAATTTTTCTCGAACTTTATAACACACCCAAGCTATCGGATTTCACATCGGATAGTTATAAGTAATTGTGACTTCCTTATTCTAAATGTAAATGATCTCATTGTATACAATCCCAAAACTTAAAACTTAGCAGATTGTATGTAAATTCAGGATATATGATTTTAGGAGGGAAAGTACAATGTCCACATCATTTAGACCCATGAATGGTTTGCAAGAACTCCCTCAATGTTTTATGTTAAAAAGGAAAATTGTATATAGCTATGATATAATGTTTTTAATTTTGATTTTTCTTCTAATTAACTTCCATTTTTAGCTTCTATACTTCTCAATCAGGCACATTTAAAATAAATTTAAAAAAAAATTGACCAAAATTCCCCTAAAATATTTAGGGTACCTTGAATGTTTAAGGGTATTTTGATCAATTTACATTTCTCTAAAATTTACTTTCTATAATTTTTTCTAGGTGCATCTAGATGTGGTTCAAAGGATAGCAAAATTTTGTATAATCCAACGAATAGAGAAAATATTAAAATTGAAATACAAAATATATTGCAAACTTTGTGCAGTTCTTGTTATAATAACACCCAATTCAAAGATTTGAAACCCACTTCTCATGAACATGGGGATTTTGTATGATCTATAGGCTTGAACTGAATTCTTGAAAATGCCAATCAAAATTTTTCAGTTGTTTACACTCGAGAGTACTCCCATACATGTTCCTCTCTCCTCCCAAGAATACCCTTTTACGTCTTTTACACTTGATTTGACCTTTTTGAGTACTTCAAGGGTTATGATGATGAAAACACACGTTCTAGAATCAAATAGGCATTAAGACGGACATAATTTGGACCCCTCAAGACAGAGACAAACCAGTGATTCTATGTAATGACGTAAGATCGAATAATCTATCTCCATGCAAAAAAAATGGTCTGCAGAAATATTACTGATCAATTATAACTATGTTCTTCATTGATCCCCAAGTCAAGTGCAGCCCTGTAATTTACAGGTAATCAGTTGCTGGTTTATAATATACATAAAATCAGCTCTGAAATTACGACTGGCAAGCATCCTGCAGATATTCTGAACTATGACTCTTGTTCTTCGCCAGTAAAAGTGATCATTAATTCCAATTGTCATCCGCTCGCCCGTCTGCAAGAACCCCCATGCACCAAGAGCACTAAAACCCAAATAACTAGGCTAGCCTGCAGGATTCAAAATTGTCCCCATAACATGTGATATTCATCAGTGCCATGAAAAACCATATGGGTGCACATTTCTCCTTCCCATTCTTAAAATTGTCTCTACATACACTCCAACTCAAAAATAGTTGAGATTTGACAGCACAAAAGGTGTACAAATAATAGATAAATAATAAACCTTTTCACTTCTTAGAACCCTTAAAGATCGCATCCTTCAAGTACTTGAGTTCTTGAATACTTTCCTTGATATCATCCATTGCTCTGTGTGTGTTCTTCTTTGCAGGAGCTTTACGAAATTCTAAATAAAAAGGGTCATTTTAGTATCACATTATGCTGAAAGCTTCAATATATTTACCAAATAAATAAATAAAAATTGAAACATACCATCTTAAAACCTCTATCTTAACAGATCGCTTAGGATTTACAATGTTAGCCATGGACGTGGCTGTGGGAATAGGATAACTATTAAGTCATGTGGTTTGTTGCATACTAGGCAACAATCACAAAACAAAACTAAATACACTCGACTAGGATAACTATTTTTTTTGATGATGACTGAATAGGATAACTATTTTTTCTGATGATGACTGAATACACTTGACTAGGGATGTTGAGTCTTAGATTGTATATATTTTTTTTCATATTTTCTTTTCAACTATCTACTCTTAAGTGTATGCCTGTATGATTGTATCATTGTATGGATATATAGATTATGAATGGATATGAACAGTGGAGCATGGAGTATGGTCTATGGATTATGGATTATGGATTATGGATAGTGCCTGTATTACTAATTTACTGATTACTACTATATATTGTTGTTTGTGCTAGTAGTCTATCTATTACAAATATAAAATGGTTTGAAACTTTTTGGATTATCGGATTTTTATTATTTTATGATGTACACTCATATTCCCCTGCTCCCTGCCCCTCTTCTTCAAACTAGGTCCTAGGTCGCCCAGATTCTAGGCGGCCGCCTAGGTGCTGGGCAGTCAGGGCCTCCCCCCCGCCCCCTGGCAGCCTAGGTGCCGCTCGACGTTTTCTGGAACACTGTTAATGAGTTTCGCTGATATATATAGGTCCGTAGTCATACATAAGGACATCAGAGTCCTTGGCTACACAAAGCATGTGGCTTTGGTGCTACATGAAGCATTTGTAAATTTTGAATGCCACTATGTGGAGGTGTCCTCAAGCTGATGTTATCCTCTTCTCTCCATTAATGTGTTGATGAGGCTTAGTAGGCCATTGAAGAGTTACACTATGTGTAGCCCCTTTTCTGAATTTTATATGAAGATGTGTTCTTCTTGCTTTTTGAGTTTTCTCCAATAGAATTGATGGATCTTGGATGCTGTTTTGGATTGCCAATTGGGGAAGGACATACATTCTTACTTTTTCATCCACTAATGAGAGGGATGGATCTAGGTAAACTTTTGAAACAACCAAATGAAAGAAGTGGAATGCCATTTTTGGGCACAAAATCAGAGAGAGTTCATGAGCTGGTCTTCCGCAGATTTCTTACAAAATTGGGATTCTATTCAAGCCGCTAGACTGAGGGTATTGCCCATATCTGATCTTTGGAGACTTCCCCCCAATGGGGTAATCAGGCTCAAGTTTGATGGTTGCTCCCTAGGCAACCTGGGCCCCTCGGGATTGGAAGGTGTGTTTATAAATCACCTAGCTTGGAGCCCATTTTCTTATGCGGCACATCAGACATTGAGCTCTACAGAAGGCTGAGATACTTGCACTGGTAGAAAGCCTCAAACTTTCTGACACCAGTAGGGGCCCCTCCCTTGAAGTAGTGGGGCACTCTGTGAAAGTCATTAGATGGGCTTCTAGTCAGGCTCCCTGTTCAGGGCATCTTGAGTATTTGTTCAATCAACTTTCATCAATTTCCAGCAATCAACATGTATTCTACAATCATTTGTGGCTGGAGGTGAATAAGATGGCTAATGCCCTTGCAAACGATGGGGCTGTTGGCTCTGGGATTATTGTCAACAGGTTTCAGCCTAAGACATTAGGCGTTGACTGTTTCTGTTTTTGTACAGGACTACATAGCCTGAAATTTTGCTTTATAGTATGTCTTTTATGTCCATGATGCCCCCAGCAGCCCCCCCCTTCCCCCCTCTCCCTCCCAAACAACCAAACAAAAAAAAAAGGGAGGGGGGGGGGGGGGGGGAAACGCTTCATATACATGGAAAAATTGTCACTAGTTTAACACAATTACGATGCACTCATTAAATTACAAAAAGTGTTATTGGGATATCTCCCCTATTGTGAATTTGTGAATTAATGTCATGCAACAATCACAAAAATTTTCACTATGAAGGATGCTAATACAAATCAAGAATGACTACCTTTAGGATACCATCGGAGGCATAGTGCTTTAACACTGCTAACGTCGATAAGAACATGAGAGAAAAGGCCAGCTAGTGTCGGCATGTATTTCTGATAAGACATTCAATCATCTAACTTTAATTGTCATTATAGTCAGCCATATATGGCACAGTAAAAATGAAACATATTAGGAACTTCGAGATTTGTTACAAGAGGCTAATCTCATATACTAATCTGGAAATTAAAATCATGCAGAGATATTGAAGGGTAGAAAAAATATACCAGTTAAAATGTAAGTACGAAGAAAATGATAAGCAAAATTTAAATGGAACAATTTTAATAAAACACAAGCATATGTGATGTGTGTGTGCATCAGCTCACACGCATGAGATACATGTGTGTAAGCATGAGTGCATATATATACATGTATTAACTATAAGATAAAGTTTATGGTGGCCCTACGTTAAAGTTCTGGTAGTCACCTAGGAACACCAAAAAATGGTGCCCCCCCCTCCCCGCCCCAAAGGGAAAAAGAAAAAACACCTCACCTCACTCCAAGACAGTTTCCTCCAAATAATATATGATTTGGACCTCTTAAAAACCTCCAAATCCCAATCCAGAACAGATTTAGGAGCGGCGGTGGATTTTTGCACTTTTGGAGCTCTAAATCATTTTCTCTTTTTTTTCTGAGGAGATTGAATTTGGAAATGAGACTGAGCTGGACCTTCTTTTAGGTCCCTCTAAGTAACTCAACTTGTTTTTAATCCCTTATTCGAAATATTAACACCAATTCCTGCGGAGCCCTAAGCAGCCTGTTAAATTCTCTCACCCAATCGAAAATGGTGGATGAGGTTGGGGAACAGCAATGTTTGGTGATCCTCTACCTTCAGAACCACTTTTCAGCAGTGATTAACTAGACAACATGCTTTTGGCTTGGTGCTGCGCGTCATCATGTCGAGCTAGATGTATGGTGTTTCAGAAGTATCAACAGTTACAGTATATTTCAGATAAGAGTTGTCTTTTCTTGGGGAAAAAAGTGGCTACACCAGGAATTGGTACCTAAACCTCTTAAAGAGTTAAAAGGGTAACGTCTTCCATTATGCTATTTAAGCTTTTGAGATTAAATATCAGTACGTCTATTATAAACAGAAGTTGAAAAACAAAATGCAATGTTTTGGACATCTTGGTATGGTAGAAAATCATTTTCAAAATTAGGCTAGTAAACAATAATTTATGTTGAAAATTTAAAATTAAGCTAGTAGTTAATGATGAACGTACAACACATTTACGTCGAACTTTGAATACATGTTATTTCTCTTTTATTTTTTGTTTTCCTTTTAATTTAAATAATTGAAAATTTTGAGCCGCTAACCATAAATCACATAGTGGTCATAAAATATAGTAACTATAAGGAATGAAAATTGAATTCTGAATCCTCAAGTTACCTATAAAATAAGACACAGTTTTAGTTTTGACAAAATTAGGTCACAAGATATAAACGAAATAACTTAAGAGAAACTTTTGTAAAACTCCTTTCTTTTTGAGGTATTTCAAAAATTGTCATGCATAAGTTCTATTTTATGCTCAAGCCCTCCCTTCAGCAGTTTTCAATTTCCCGAGCTACCCCCAGAATTGGTGTCCTTTTTCTTGCATTTTGTGTTTTTTTTTGAGTGAAAAAAGTGGTTTGGGCATGCTATGTCTGAATAGGTCTACACAATTAGACATCAGTTAGACATCCAATGCCAAAATGCTATCTACCTCTAAAAAAGAAAGACATCGGCTCATAATCTGATGTTCAAACCCCATTTCATTAAAAAGAAAAATTACAAGTGAGCAATTTAGACATTGGATGTCTGATTTGCCCATTTGTAAATTTTTTTAACTGAAAATGTGGATCGAATATCAAATGCCGAACTGCTTTTTTCACTTAAAAAAATCGGTTTGGATATCCAATGTCCAATTGCTCTTTTCATTTAAAAAAATTGGTTCAATCATCAATGTTTCACAATTAAAAAAACAAAAAGACACCAGTTTGGATGTCCAATGGTCCGAACTGCTTTTTTCACTCAAACAAAAAAAAAAGGTACAAGTGGGCACTTCAAACATGGATGTCCAAACCGACCACTTCTTTTTCTTTGGAGTCAAAAAAGTGATTAAGACAGCAGGTCTTTTTCACTCAAAAATATCGGTTCAGACATCAAATGCCCAAACCACTCTTTCTCATAAAAAAAGGAAGGTTTGGAAATTGAACATTTGAATCAGGGCTAGTGCAGGAATTAAAAACAAAGTGCTAGTAAAAGGGAATTGAGCATAAAGTATAACTTCTGTGAGACCATTTCTAGATACCACAATATAAAAAGGATTTTAACATTTCCTACTTGTCTATTTGTATATATCATCTCATATTATTTGTTAGAGAGAGAGCCAAACCATATGTTAAGAATACATAGAAAAATTAATGTTTTAAAATTTAGCATAGAAACCAACTTGACCAGTTCTAGATAGCACAATATAAAACGGATTTTAACATTTCCTAATTGTCTATTTGTATATATCATCTCATATTATTTGTTAGAGAAAGCGCCAAAATATATATTATACTTGGAAAAATTAATGTTCTAAAGTCTAGCCCAAAAACGAACTTGTTTATTCATTTATAAAAATACATCATATTTTAAATTTTTATGAAAAAATTTATTGTATGGACATGTTGGCACGTGTCTACTTTTTATGCAAAAGCATTTGACACTTGAGAAACTACGCACGAGACCCGTGCCTGTGTCCATGTAATACTGCTTTTGAGTTGCTTGGGAAACCTAAGAATGCTCCAAATCAAATCCAAATTAGTCTCCACCATAAAATTTGATTAGGAACACCTAAAAATCTCCACATCGTCCAAATATGATGTGCATTCAAACAGAGGGTAAAGATCTCAATTACGGACAACGGCAGAATTGGAGCATTTTTGGAGCTCTAAATCATTTTTACAAAAGATTGTTTGGTGTGGAGATTAATTTAGAGCTTTTTTGGATCCCTCACCATAGTTTCCCGAACCTCTCACCGAAGGTCACGATTCCGATTTGAAACCATGATTCGGTAATTCTGACAAGGAATTTTCACAGAACCTGTTTCTGTGAAGTCTAGAATCTCGATTCCTTATTTTAGGAATCTTGATTCCAACACTTACAGAATCATGTTTCCAATATTTACTGATTCTCGATTCTGCAATTGGTGAATCTCAATTCTATACTTGTTGAAATTTGTTTCCATATATAACAATACTTGATTCGATCATTTTTTAATCCAAATTCCTTAACAACAAATATCGTTGTTTGTGGAATAACTCAAACTAGAACTGGAGACGATTATATGCTGTAGTGTATGTGTGCTTCGAACAATAATCCAATGAATGCATTGCCAAAGTTTCGGTTCCAGAAATCACATTCAAATGCAAAAGGCTAGAGTTAAGTTGTTAAAAAGTTTCATTCCAATGTTTTTTGCAAGTAACAATGGCAAGTATAACTTCTTTTGCCGGGCCTTGGAGTATTAACAAGAAGATAACTTGCCCTTACTATTTAAAAATTTGAATACTCCATGCATTCAACCATGGTATCAAAGGCATATACCCCCCTTCAGATGGGTCGAAACTTGAATCCAAACTACTACAAATCTCAATTCCAATCTAGGTCAAATCTCGATTCCAAACTATGTGAATCTTGATTCGAAATGCCTAAGAATCTTGATTCCAAAGATGTCGGAATCTTGATTTATTTATTTTTTTAGAATGTTAACAGTTTGTATTAAAAGAGTAACAGTTAGATTCGAGAGCACCCACAGACTGGGTCTCTCAACCAAAAAATGGCCACGAAGCAGTGGACCTGTACAAAAATGTTGGAATCTTGATTTTATAAATGAAGGAATCTGGATTCCATATTGGTTGATTCCAAATAGGTTGGAAATTAGATTCCATAAATCTAGGAATCTCAATTCCATCTATATAAGGATCTTGATTCCATTTTGGCTGAATCTCGATTCCTATAAAATTAAAAAACTTGTTTCCCACAATTCCTCTTGTATAGACGTTTGATTCCGAAAACAATTATCTTCTAGCTGGCCCCGATTCCGTGATTTCAATTCCTAAAACGATACGGATTCGGAATCATTTCCATCAACTATGCCCCACACCCACCTCAAAGTTCCTGAGGTAGGGAAACAACATTTTTCGGGGATCCCCAAAGTCGAAAAAATGTTTCCCCAAAAATACAATCAGCTATCCTTTCCAAAACAACTGTACATGTGAAATCTAAATCTTGGGTGCATCATTCCTCCGCTCAAAATCCGAGGAAAAGTTTCCTAGATTTTCAATATACCCCAATTGTCTGACCTCAAAGTCAACAACTTCAGCTCTAGAAAATGTGTTACAAGATGTCACTACTTTTAGGACTTGAAAACTTTTTTTTCTTTTTCCCCCATATCTATAAATATCAAGATCCAAGTGTGTGTGTGTGTGTGCCTGTGTCTGTGTCTGTGCGTGCGTGTCACCTTTTTCAAGTACTTCTTGTCTCTCCATTTCTGTTGAACTTCTATTCAATATCCGAAGTTTCACCTCTAATGTGAATACCATGCTTTGTAATTATGGTTTAGGTCTAGATTATGAGATATTGCTATTGTTGGCTGAGCTATTCATCTCACAATCTAGAGATATGGCTTCTACAATTTTTTATTGCATTCCCGACTTGTCAATTAACATAACATTCTTATCAAATGTAGGTTTTTCCATGGAAAAGCCTCTGGAGGCCATATTGGTCATGTTTTTCTTTAGTTGTTATCTACGGGGATCGTTTATTCGACCCAGGCTGGCCAAGCAATATATATCAACTTTACAACAAATTTAGTTGTATTGCCTTTGAACAATTATAACTGATTCGATGATGCTTCCCAAAGGACCATTTATCTTAGGCTTGCTACTGCATCTATTACAAAGGATGTTTTCTTAGTATCTTGAAACCAGTGCTATTCAACATATGATCAGTGGTTTCAAAATAATTCCCATTCATATGCCATATGCAGGCATCTACTATTTTATTGGTTATTTATTTCGCAGGCATTGA